GGCCCCTGCGCTTGCCAAATGTGCTTATTCTACTGAGCCATCTCCTCAGCCCCCACTTGTTTGATTTTCATTTCTTTTTCTTCCTCATGTTATTCAATTAAATTTATATGAGCAGATGAATTTGTGAGCATTCTTCAATTATAATGAAACCTGCAGTAATGAATCCCATCAACTCATGGACCCACAAAACCCCAACCCTTTTTCTTAATAGTGGATGAATTTACTGTGTAAAAAGACTGGTCAACATAAATTGGGGACTAGGGATTAGGAATAGCTTCCAAGAGACAGGAGGGGCTCCAAGTGTCTTGCACAGGAGCCCACCTCTCAGAGGAGTTTTCATGGAGCAGAAACAAGAGGTAAGAATGACATGTATAAACATTATTGTAAACCAATCAGATTGAAAGGATAGTCACTTAGGTAATATTGATCAAATGGTAGAAAAGGTCCATGAGTGACATCATGACACTTGATCAGTGATATTTATCCTACTCTTCATTAGTCTAAGCAGACTTAGTAGTAGCATCAATCTTAGTCCCAGTTGTTTTAGTATTAGCAGGTTAGAGAGGACGGTACATCCCTAAGGAGGTAATGGGAAATCTCAAATGCTGATGGAAAGAATCCCAAGCCTGTTCATCTCTTAGGGAAGTAAGAGAAACTTCCCACTGTGACTTTGGACTTCAGATGCACCACTTGGTACATTCCTCATGCATTCTCATCATCTCTTCCAGGCCCCAGCTATATCTAGCTCCCTACTGTGCTTATCACAAACTTTGCAGTCTATAATGTTTCCCCCTCTGAGGAGGTACCATCACCTGGAGTTAGGATAGAAGTGGTGCACTTTCAATCCACCTGCTTCATACTGAGCGATATCAGTTTAAGGGAAAGCACAGTCAGAGGCCTTCTACAGAGATCTAATCTAAAGGGCCTCAGATAGACTTCTTGTTGTGGTTTAGCAGCTGCAATCTGTTCATAAGTTTGATCCAATGGATTCAGGAAAAGATGGCTAGCACACAACCCATTCATTTCATCTGCATGATTACTGTCATTCTAATATCCTCTAGGCCACAATAAACAAATTTTCCAAGATATTTTAACAAATATGATCAAACCACAAGCAGTAGAATGGAAAGGTAAGTTTTGGAAAGAGTCAAATCCAGAAACTGTTCTGGAGTGACTGGAACAGTGATGGTACCGAGTTTGCTCTTAGAGTCCTCTCCTGATAAAGGTCCCTCTAGTATAGCCATGAGAAGATGGAGAGAAGGAAATCGGAGACCCTTGTCATGGTTTTACTGCTTGCACTGTAGCCTTTTCAGGATTAATGAAGCATAGTGCCAGCTATTGGTATATCTGAAAACTTTCCAAAAGACATCAGTGATTGGAGCCCTTTTTGTATCCAGCTATTTGTACTATAGCACTGTGTTTGTCCATCATTTGGTTATAATTTCCTGATGGATATTTTAGAGCAAGTTCTATGGAAATGCATATTCATCAATATTAACCTCTTCCTGTCTTTCAAGGTGAATTAAGTCCCCTCAGACATTACCTTGCAACCATGTACAGAGCCTCCTCTTGTCTGGAAGTGGCAGCGATCTTGATAGAACAATCTTGTTCAATCATATTGTTTTGTGTGAAAGCACGGGACACCGT